GGGAAGCGGGTACTTGTTCTTGATCGTCAACCGGTTAAGATCCCGGTAGTCGATACACATGCGCATGGATCCGTCCTTCTTCTTAACAAAGAGAACGGGCGCTCCCCAAGGCGATACACTCGGTCGGATGAAACCGAGTCGCAACAACTCCTCAATTTGCGCCTTAAGCTCCTGCAATTCCTTAGGCGCCATGCGGTACGGGGCTTTGGATACTGGACCGGCCCCTGGGATGAGATCAATCGAAAACTCCACCTGACGGTCGGGCGGTCCTCCTGGAAGCTCGTCTGGGAATACGTCCACAAACTCTCGAACGACTGGAACATCGTGAGGTGAACGCGTCATCTGAGAATCATCAACGAGGCTCACCAGATAACCCTGATGGTTACCTCGTCTCAGCAACTTAGTGGCTTTCGCCATGGAAACAACATGAGGCAAAGAACGGTTTCTGGAGCTGAAGAAGGTGATCGGCTCATCTCTCGGAAGATAGAGAGTAATCTCCCGGTCATGACACTTGATATCCGCATGATAAGAGGATAGCCAATCCATTCCGAGAATAAGGTCGAAGTCCTTCATCTCAAGAACAAACGCGTCGGTAGGCAAGACTCGGCCACCGATGGAAAGGCTAAGGTCTGAAGCTTTAGCTGATGTCACTATCTTTCGTCCCGAGGCCAAACTCACCTCGAGAGGATCGATAGCGGAAGTAGCGCGAACTCCGATGGCATCAAGACATCGTCGTGAAATGAATGAATGCGTAGCTCCGGTATCAAACAAAGCAAATACAGGAACATTATTAAGAATAACCATTCCGGACATGGTACCTGGCTGCTGCTCGGCCCCTGCCTGATCAATGGCATAGACTCGGGCCTGCTGCCTGCCCCTCTGCTGCTGCTGCTGGGGCTGCCTCTGCGCCTGCTGACGAGGCTGCTGCTGCTGCTGTGGCTGCTGAGCCTGCTGAGGCTGCTGATCCTACTGAGCCTTCTTCGGACACCTGTTCGCAAAGTGTCCTGCCTCATGGCAGTAGTAGCACACGTCCTGACCGAAGCGACACTCGCCTCGGTGATGTCGTCCGCAGGTCGGGCACTGAGGGACCTGCTGAAACTTCTTCCGGGCCCTCTTGTCTGTCTGGGCCCCCTTCCTCTTGTGGTTCTTGGGCGGCTGGGTAGATGGCAGAGCTGACGTCGGAGGAACAGAAGATGAATGGCCACGGACGGCCTCCCTCCTAAGGCTGGCATCCACCTCCTGAGCAATGGAGACTGCACGGGCATATGTCTGGGTCCCATGGCCTACGATGTTATGACGGACTGCTGGGTAAAGTCCGTCAATGAAACGCTGCGCTCGCAGGGCCTCTGAGCGGACCAGATCAGGTACGAGGGCTGCAAGTCTCGTGAACTCTCGCTCGTACTCATCGACTGTACGAGAACCCTGCCGGAGCGATAGAAACTGGCGCTCCATCTCTGCCCGATAGTAGGTGGGGTAGTACTTCTCGCGGATCAAGTCCTTGAGCTTCTCCCACGTACAACCAGCCTTCTCACCGGGACGCATGCCCCAGTAAGCGTTCCACCAGAGCCTGGCATCTCCGGTGAACTGAAGCTGAGCGCATATGACGCGGTACCTCTCAGGGCACTCCATGACCTCGAAGATGAACTCAAGGCCCTGAATCCACTCGTCAACTATGCGAGGGTCTCCCTGCCCTGAGAACTTCTCGGCATGGTAGTCGCGGAACTGGGCGACCACGGTAGCTTGAGTAGGTGCCATCTGAACATTGAAAGGATTTCTGAATTATTGAACATGATGATGATATTCTGACTGATTATTAAGGCACACAGATCTCTTGCCGAGTTGCCAAAAATGGCCGATAATTACTGACATGAAACCTGAGGAACTCTAGAGTCATACTGAAAGATTCTAAAGTCTAGAGTCATATCTGAATATACTGATCTCTAAAGTCAAGCCTGAATGCCCTGATTTCTAGAGTTATATCCGAACTCTAAAGTCTGAATCTGATCTGAGCATCTTAACCAAGTCTGATTACTGATTTCTGAGCATAGACAAAGTAATATGTTTATAGCTGAAAAAATAACTGAATCAGCACTTACCTGGAGTCGGCGAGGCGTGAGCGTGACTGTTCAGGTTTTTCTGAAAATTTTTGAAATTTTTGACTGAAAAACTTTCAGAGACGCAAAAACGTGCGCTCTGATACCAAGCTGTAACACCCCGTCTGACTAATACATCAGAGTACGCGATTTTTCGCAAACCTTCTCTTAACAAAGAAATAAATGAACTAACTTTTAATTTGCGAAACTGATACGGGGG